AGTGTACGGGAGTGAACGAGAGGGTGAGTAAGGGACCCCCTCCTCGTCTCTGCCCCGAGCATGACGTACTATGGAATGAAACACTTCCCTGGTCAGTTTGGGTCAGGTGCCTGAACTGTGTGTCCCAGCACTGCCTGTAGCGAGACAGCGAGAGCTGGGAATGCAGCTGAAGGATCAGAAGTGGAGAAAGCCTTGAATTCAGTGCAGGCATTGCCCAGCGCCAGCTGAGAACTTATCAGTGCTGCTCTCTGCATCCAGGAACAGCTTCCTAGCAGCCACGGTAAAGGGAGTTAACTCCTTCCTGCCTGAATCCAGCACACTTACTTGACTTGTAGGTGTCAGAGTTGTATTAGGGCTGCTACTGTAGGTGAGGGTGACTCCGCATTTATGTTACACATCCACTTACCTAGGATTAATATCTCACTTATAGTTTTTAATACTACATAACTGAATACTTAGCTGTCAGTACAGATGAATTTCACTAATCCTAAAAATACAGGAATCAAAAAATGTAGAGTGTCAGGCAGAATGCAGCACAACTGTCGCTGTAGTTAAAAGGCCAAAGCTTGTAGTTTTGGGGTTTTTTTTCAGGTTTTACTCAGTCCTTCTTTTCAGTATGTCACTTTTCAATTATCGTGGATATCTTCGTGAATATGAAAAAATTCAGCATTTAATATGACAATATGAAATGAATGCGAAAAAAATTCGGCGGGGCCTACAGGGAAGCTGGGGGACACTTTTTACAAGGGCCTGTAGTGACAGGACAAAGGGTAACAGGTTTAAATTGAAAGTGGGGAGGTTTAGATTAGATATTAGGACAAAGTTCTTCACGGAGAGGTGGTGAGGCACTGGAACAGGTTTCCCAGAGAAGCTGTGGATGCCCCATCCCTGGAAGTGCTCAAGGCCAGGCTGGATGAGGCTTTGAGCAACCTGGTCTAGTGGAAGGTGTCCCTGCCCATGGCAGGGGGGTTGGAACTAGATGGTCTTTAAGGTCCCTTCCAACCCAAACTATTCTGTGATTCTAGGAGCATTTATACCACTGCACAAAAATGTGATTGAATGTGTCGCATTAGGTGGCTCTTCTTTAAAGTGAAATTACACTTCTGTTCTTACGAATTATAGCAATTTGCAAACCTTTTACTAGAGAAGGTTTACATTTAGAAGAAGAAAGATGACATAGTAACTTTTACATAAAAGTCTTTGTTTTATGGGCATGTGTGTTGTCAAAATATTTTACCATCTTTTCCTTTATTTCTGTGAAACCTGCAGAACTGCTCCTGCATTAATAAAAATAGGATAGGTGGAGTTCCTGGTTGTACTTTTCTAACATCGAGGGTTGCATTTACCCTAAATTCTTTAGAGCTGTTGAATGTGAAGTGTCAGCATTTACTGTAGTGGTTTTTTGATTGCTGCTTTGTACCCTACCGTGCTTTCTAGCTACTTGTTTCTGAATTCAGTTTGAATTGTGTTCGCTTCAGTTTAATGCCTCTTAGGGTTTTATATTGTTTGTAAGGAATTTTGGACTCATACCATACGCATGTAATTCATATGCCCCTAGTTGAGACTCTTAGGTGGTTTTTTTTTTTTTCCTATATTTTCAGGGTCCATGTGATATCAGTTCAGCTTTCAGTGCTGACAGGGATCCTTCTTATTGTAATTGAAGTGTGCAAAAAAACCCAAACAGGGGAGCAGGAGGATTTAATAATTTTTTTTTTTCTGCTCTTTTAATGAAGAGTTATGAATCATTTAACAAGATGTTTTTCTTTATTCATTTTTCTTTAAAAAACCCACCAACCTTACACCTTTGTTACAGAGCAGTACTGTAAATTAAACAACCCTTGCAGGTTTGTACGTTCACCTTTTCAAGCACAGTAAGAACTGTGCTAGTGAGCTTCTGTGCAGCGTGTTGTCTAAAGGCTCCTTGAGAATACAAATACCCATTTCCACTGCTCCACCAGTAGCATAATAGGTACGGTCTCTTGTGAATTTTAAGAGAAGGTATTTTAAGTTACAATCTGCCTGTTCTAGTTTTGGAAATGCTTCAAGAAAGTCATTTTCATGAGAACTGTTGCTATACCTATTCAAAGTAACTTATTAAGTGATTAATTTGATAGTGTCTAAAATGCTTCCAGTGTACGTTAGAATTTTACTTTATACACTCCAAGCGTGATGGTTAGTTACTCCCGCCATTTTGACATTGGCTGCCGCTGTGGGAGATTCCGCACAACCTTCTTTCAAGTTAACTTTCGTTAATTTAGCTGATCAAGCCCTAACAACTCATTTCGGAAAGCTTAGAAGTATACCTTGTGTTTTGTACGTTACTGCCACGATTGCTGGAAACGGTGATGCCTCGTCTGACTCGCCATCCCTTTACCAAAAAGGAAGTTGTTAGCAGAATTCTCAGGGTGAAAGTGGTACAGAATTTCTTCTTCTGATTGAAACACAGTTGTCTAAACAAACCTTTCTGTAAGCTTTTGGGTAAGAGAGAATCTCTGTCTTGATAATGGGTTTTGTCGTGCTGAATTTGGGCAGACTGGCATTAATTTTACTTGTTTGTGAAATAAACTCAATTTTTAATACAAGCCCAAAATATCAGTCCTAGAATAAAGAATTTAAAAATTTGTTGCATAAATAATATTTATAGTGCTTTTGTTGGATTTGTTTGTATTCATGCAGGTTGAATTTGAGTGCATCAATGAAAAGAAAAGACAGAAGAAAAAAAACTATAAAAACTCCGGCATTGTGAGCGTTAAGCACTGTGAGGTCAGTAATATGGAATGACTCTTTGTTTTTAAGTGTTCAGTGTAACAACTCTCATCTCGTATGTCTTCGCCCTCAGACTGTAAGAAACTTAAAAATGACTGAAGGTTCCAGGCACAGTAAGTATTTAAGGGCTGTGATTCGTATAAGGAGGTAGATTGACAGCTGGATCACACGTCCTCCCCTGTCCCTTCACTTTCTCTTGATGACGCCATCTGTATGGCAAACGTCGCTTACCAGCTTGTAAGGCCATTCCTGAACCACTTCATTTCCCAACTCAGCAGATTTTAACTCACCATAAAACGTTAAGTCTGTCACAGTACGTGGTTTAATAGATGGTAGTGCTTTGGAGCTGCTTTGCTGTCTGTCTGTAACTTTGTGAAACACCTGATTCTGGTGCGCTGAGTGTGTGCTGGCACATGCTGTAAACATCCTCCCTGCAGTGGCTATCCGTAGGGTAAAAGTAGTGCTTGGTATGAGTGCAGATAACAGATCTGGAACCTCAGAAATTGCTGCAATTACACTTAGTGCTTCTGTCCCCCAAAAATTTAATTTTTATCTTTAACTTCTATTTTTAGATCATAGTAGAATGCACGTTCCTTGATTACATCATGGGCGGGTGTCAGCTGAATTTCACAGTAAGTTAAATCATTTACATAAAGTAGCTCTGTAGTTTTGGAACAAACTGAAGTATATAATTGATTGCCTGTGCTCTTCATTTGATTATTGGTTGGTTTGGGGGTTGTTTTGTTCTGTAGCATGAAGAGGGGAAGTCATTTTGCTGGAGTTCGTCTAGTCTGTATAGAAAAGTATTATTTTCTTCACTCATGGCACAAACCTTTGAACTGTAGTTGTTTCATTAGGAACTGGCTGAGCTGTGTAGATGAAGACCAAGGAGAAATTTACAGTTCCCTGATTTAGGTCAAATTTCCTTTTCATATGTGCTCTTCCCTCCCCCCATCTTCTTTTTCCTTCCTCCGACCAAAGATTTCACTGTTGCCCTTAATGGTGGTTTTCAAGACCCTTAACGCACAGAAGCCATGGAATCATAGAATCATAGAATGGTTTGAGTTGGAAGGGACCTTAAAGATCATCTAGTTCCAACCTCCCTGCCATGGGCAGGGACACCCTCCACTAGACCAGATTGCTCAAAACCTCATCCAACCTGGCCTTGAACACTTCCAGGGATGGGGCATCCACAGCTTCTCTGGGCAACCTGTTCCAGTGCCTCACCACCCTCTCCGGGAAGAGCTTCTTCCTGATATCTAATCTAAACCTCTCCACTTTCAATTTAAACCCGTTACCCCTTGTCCTGTCACTACAGGCCCTTGTAAAAAGACCCCCCCAGCTTCCTTGTAGCCCCTTCAGGTACTGGAAGGTGCTGTAAGGTCTCCCCCGAGCCTTCTCTTCTCCAGGCTGAACAAGCCCAACTCTCAGCCTTTCATCATAGGAGATGGTTAGGACCCTTAAGTTACATAATTTGCAAACCAAATTCAGCACAAATCTTGGTCAGATGTCTCCATCTTGGTACTACGCCTCGTTACCAAAGCAGAGGAGACACGTTCTGGTCAGAGAAAGAACGGTCTCTAGGCCTGTGTGGTGTCTGGCTGGTCGTACTTCTGAGAGGAAGGGTGTATATGGCAAGGTACAGAATGAAATTAATTTACCAGCTGCTGTGAATGGTAACTGAAGGTAAACACAGTGAAAACCTGACAGATGAAGGTCGTTTCAGCCCTTCTGACGGATGCAGAGCATCTGCTGGTTTTGTTAGTGGCATTGTTCTAAGTGTGGTAATATTCCAAGGAACCTACCCCGAAGTATTGTACCTGTTAGATTTGTGGATGTCCTGGTAACCACTGTTTACACCTCTTCATGATTTTCACTTTGGCTTTGCCAGAGATAAGAAACGTCGTTTTACCTCTAACTGGAATTTGATATAAATATTGCATTTGACAGGTGGGGATAGATTTTACAGGCTCCAACGGAGACCCTCGCTCTCCAGACTCTCTGCATTACCTCAGCCCTAATGGAGTTAATGAATACCTAACAGCCATTTGGTCTGTAGGGATGGTCATTCAGGATTATGACACGTGAGTTTTAGATTTTTATTTAAGTAATTTTTGATATATATATATTTTATTTTTTGGTGGTAGTTTCTTAAAACAGTGGTGAAGATGGCAGCAGATGTATCGAGTGAAACCTCTGAGCTGAAATGTCATATTTAAAAACAACTTCACAATGCCTGCACAATCACATAGTCCCAAGCAGAAGGTCGTGTTTACAGCAGGCAAGCGAGACTCTTCATCTGTGATGCAAAGAGCAGCGTTAATGTCAAGAAACACTTGCATTCTTGCCAATTTGGTGACTGGTTTTGGTCTTAGAAACAATAACGGGGAACTTCCATTTAATTTTGCCTCTTAATGCTTAACAAACAGCATTTTTAATGGTCAAAAGGAGCACTGATTAGCTAAACTTACTCAACTGTGACAGCTATTAAATGAAGGCACTCACTTCAATTTCTTTAAAATTGCCTTTTTTTTAGAGATAAGATGTTTCCAGCCTTTGGATTTGGTGCACAAATTCCTCCATCCTTTCAGGTAATGGAATATGTAAATGCACTACATAAGACAGCTAAAAGCGCTTAATTCAGGAGGAGATTGTATACACAGTCCTGACTTCTTTTCTGTGTATTAACAGGTGTCGCACGAGTTCCCGATAAATTTTAACCCATCAAACCCATTCTGTAACGGTAAGTCTGAGCAAGTGACATCAGTCCTAGGGATATAAAATGTCTTAAGGTGAAGGGATTAAAACATTTGAAAGGTGAACTGTGAAGCATGTGGTTCTAATTAAATATTGTACAGCAGGAAACAATTTTATAACAGTTTTCTTAGTTATTAAAAATAGCATTTGGCCTTTCTTCTGTACTAGTTCAGGAAGGAAGTGTTTTAAACAGCTAGGGCACAGTACAGGTGAGCTGGGAACAGTCCTCACGTTGTCAGGCCGCTTCATGCTACTTCTCTGCAGGCGTGGAGTGTCTGGTTTGAGTATGATGCTGCTAGTGCCTGTTGAACGCGGCCTCTCTGGTCACATACTAAGCCCCACGGGCTGCCAGGCGAAGAGACCTGCTGTACTCAGTTACGCACGCTGGAGCGTGCGGCCTTTGGCCCTTGTGTTCCTGTGGAGCCAAGCGTGTTAAGTACCTGCCTCAAGCGTTGGTCGAGCTGAAGGCCTCCGTTGCTCATGAACCGTTAATTTCTTTTCATCATGGTTAGTTTTAAATCTTTGCATCATCACTTTAACTGATACATCCAGTCTTTTAGGGAGATCAAGTGCTTCCAAGTACCCTGTTTCTGATGTGAAAACATTAACGTGATCTGCTGGTGTTCTCTAGGAATCCAAGGCATTGTTGATGCGTATCGGGCTTGTCTTCCTCAAGTGAAGTTATATGGGCCAACGAATTTTTCTCCAATCATAAATCATGTGGCAAGATTTGCTGCTGCAGCTACACAACAGCAAACAGCATCTGTAAGTGCTTTATGGTGGTGTGTGGGGTTTTTTCTAACTTTTTTCTTTCCACCTACTTTATAAATACTTTTTTAAGCTTTTAAGTCTGCTTGTTTGGACAGCTGGCCATTTACCTTGTGAATTGTTTTTTGGTGCTCTTAAAATGAGATAAAAGCTAACTGATTTTTGCAGATGGTACACAAGAATTCTCCTACCTTTACTAAATAAACTCTTCAGAGTTGAAATAACAGCTTAAAAATACATGACACCTTTGTAGTATCTTCTGTTGAAAGCTCTTGTAGACCTATATAGTGTGTGTGTGTATATAATGTGTGTGTGTGTATATATATATACACAAAGGCTTAAATTAGATTTATATAGGAGAGTGATTTAACCTCAGCTGGAAAAAATCAACTTGCCCTTGTTTCACATTAGATAGTTGAGAAAGAGAATTAATTAAGGTAACGAAGAAATGGAGGATATAACTCCTGACACCCGGGTGCCAACATAGATGATTAACTGTCCTTTCTGTAAAGCTTCAGGTGCACTGTGTTCTGTACCTTCCTCCCTGTTAAAATTGTATGTGTGAGTTGCTGTTTGTATTAAGAAATAGGAAGTCTGAAGGGCAAGACTTGAGTCATTTAGATCATAATCCATGCAAGTTCAGCAAATCGGAAGCCATATATATCCCAAATCACAGATGGTAGCAAATATTGGTGTCTCAGACGTCAGGTAAAACCAGAAAATAAGATTAGCTATTTTTGCATATAAAAGCACCTGTGGAAACCAATTTGGTGAACAGCTATGGATTTTCATATGTCCAGAGGCTGATAAGGTTTTGCCTTGGCAGTCTTTGAGTTGGCTTCCCTTCCCCCCTGCCCCACCCCCCCCAAGTATGGGGGAAGTATAAGAGAGAAATAATCCAATGTGATGTGCTATCGTGCTGCTGGTCACAGCCTTCTCTGATCAGGGTTGCTTTGTAGGCACTCTTGGAGCCAGGGAATGGAGTGCTGGGGAGCAGTGAGAAGAGTTGATACCTGAACACAGGAGATAAGGGAAAACCAGTTATTTTGGAAACAGATAAGGAAAGATGGGAAGCAAAGTAATGAAGAGGAAGACTTCAAAGAGTATTGAGAGTACCTCTGGAACTTCAGTTTGTGCTGCGCAGTAACCGTCTGAAATGCACGAAGTGAGAGAAGACCAGAAGTTCAAAAAGCATTTGTTAGTTTCTGAACTTTGTACTTCTAGCTTGTTCTTGATATTTCAATCCAGAACAGAGGCTGAGATGCCAGCTTTTATTGGAGCCCTGTCAGGGTAGTGTTAGCAGCTGAGATGGTACTCGAACAAGTTACTGAAGTACTGCAAGTTGGTCTCAGTAACTTCATAAAGCAGCTAGAAAACATGATTAAAGGTGTTTAAAAATGGGCATGTTGGTTTTCAGCACAAGAAGATGTGTTTTAATCTATATCTCTGATTTTAAGGATACACTGAGGAAATGAAGGCCTGTTCCATTACCCTTGGTAGCACTCTTGTTCGTCTGTTTTTGAATGAATGAAGCAAAGGGTAACGGTATCGATAGACCAGAAAGGAAACAAATGCAAGTCCAAAACCTTAATGAACTGCCTTCTATCCCAGGACAAATCCTTGGAAGATAGGTTAACTGTTGGTTTGTCTGGGGATTTTGGAGAGGAGAAAAGGCATTGGGGTTTTGGGAGGTGGCTCTTTAAAGATAACTTCTTTTATAAGATTGATTCTGTTGTCATTCTGAATTTTGTCAGACTGTACAGGTGAAGTCTGACCACAACTTAAATGTTTGATGTAAAATTCAGGAGTGCATTGAAGATGCTCAAAGTGACAACACTACGTAGCCTGTATGTGCATTTTTCTAAGTGCCTACGTGTGTCCTGCTGCTTTGTCGTAGCACAGTGTTTATTGATTTGACAGGAATACTTTGTGCTTCTGATCATAACGGATGGTGTGATAACAGACCTCGACCAAACTCGAACTGCCATAGTTAACGCTTCGAAACTGCCCATGTCCATTATCATTGTTGGTGTGGGAGGAGCAGACTTTGATGCCATGGAGTTTCTTGATGGTGACAATGGAGTTCTCAGGTCCTCGTCAGGTGAACCGGCTGTCAGAGACATTGTCCAGTTTGTGCCATTCAGGAAATTCCAAAACGTAAGTAATCTCAAGGGTATGCCTAGTAGATACTGTAGAGGTATGCAGGGTTTGCTAGGGTATCCTACATACACTCCTCAGCTCTTGCGATGTCTCTAAAATGGATTCTGAAATCCAAGAAAGGTCTTTATGAAATGGTAAAAAAACCCCACAACCCTGCAAGCCCAAAACCAACAACAGAAATCAGAAGACTTGAGCATCTGTAGAATTTCCATTAGGTGATCTGCTTCCTGTTTAAAAAGACTCCATTTCTGGTTTGAGCACTGCATTTCTGGCAGGCTTCTGCAGGGGAATGATCTTTGTAAATCTCCCTCAGGCTTGATTAAAGACGTGAATGTTTTTCATTTGGGAGGAAGAACTTACTGTGATTGCATTCTTATGGAAAAGTGGTTTTTATTGTGGATGCCCGTTTGTAAACGTGGGTTAGTCTCACATTTTAGTGCAGTATTGAAATTCAAGATTAAATCAGGCAAGTGTTAATCAGTAGAAATTGTGTGTGGGCACAATATGGGTGATAATTTTAATTTTCATTAAAGCAAATGCATAAAAAATAGGTGGTGAAAGAATGGAGTTCTCATTTTTTGCTGTAGAACCCAATAAAATATGCACAGGCTAATAGAGCCTGGCTTTTACGTGTCAAGTTGCTGGAAAAAAATTAATTAAAAACCAAAACAACCCCCAAAGTTTCCTCAGGATGGGGATGATGAGTATTTTTATTTCCATCCTAATATGTTCTAATTTTGTTTTGTTCATTATTAACAGGGTTAATATTAAGACTTCTTATATCTCCTTATTTTGTCTTTGCATTTTTATTTTTGCTTTTGATTCAAGTTCCATTTTAATCTCAGAGCAACTCGGGGAAACTGAAAGGAGAAGAGGGTAAAATCAATTTGGAAGATGCTTATCGAATAATGCACTTGGATGTAGAGTAACTAGAATCAACATTGCATATGAAATTGTATATTCAAATGCTTTCAGTTTCTAGAAGAGAGATGCTTTTTTTTCCCATGAGTACTTGGTCTTACAGTACAAGCAGTGTCTCTGGAAGAGCCACTCTGTGGCGATACGGTTGCTGTGGATGGCACCTGGTGCAGAGGATTAGACAAGCCCCTGAAGGGTTATCTTAAGCAGATAGCGGAAGTGGGTTTTCGGGCTGAAGTTTGACGTCCGCACTCTGTGTGTGCGTTTCATGTGACAGCAAGTATCTTCGGGCATGGCAGCCCTTTGTGCACCCAGCTCCTCTTAACTGCAGAGGGACAAGGCAACCGGCTGGTTCCTGGTGATGGGAGCGAGAAGGTAGAGATGTCAGGGAGGCTTCCATCTCTCCCACAAGGGCGCTGCGTAAAGCCCTCTGAAATGCCAGGCTTCAAACTGGCCTAGTAGGGAAGGTGTTTATTACCCGTCGTAGGCTCTCCTCTAGCAGTTGGTGGAAACTGAAATTTGGTGTTCTTTTTTTCTAAGTGTCCAAAAGAAGCTCTGGCGCAGTGTGTCCTGGCAGAAATTCCTCAGCAAGTGGTGAACTACTTCAGCACATACAAACTGCAACCTCCTAAGAATCCTGCTGCAAAGTGAGTGGGCGGAGCGGGGCAGCGGAGGCTCTGTGCTTGCTTTACTGCTGTGTCTGCGGACTCTGGCTCTGGAGATATTTGGGTATACGTGTATACACACACCTCTGTATGGTCATGTCTGTTAGCTGTCGCTGCAAATCGCCTTGCCAAGTGTGCCTTTAAGGGCCCAAATTGTAATTGTGTTAGTATTTTGATGTTGATTTGGGGGATGGGGCTTACGTGAGCGCATCTTGTTTTGCGAAGTGAAAGAAAAAACAAGGGGCTGAATATGCAGAGAGAAGGGGAAGGAAGAACAGCTGGAAGTGGAACAGCTGCCTGTTGGATAAATATGGCCAGTGGGAGTGTTCAGTTACTTTTGTGGGGATCAGCACTGAGGACTGCAGTTTCCCAGTGATCATAAAACCAGTCGGACATGAAAAAGAGGGTATATCCCCACCAAGCAGATAAAAATTTGTCTGTGCTTCAACGAATCTGGAATACTTCAGGCTTCTGTGCCTGTTGAGCCACCGTAACACGGTTTTGTCACAGGAGTTTCCTAATTAGGCGAGTGAAGTGTCGGAGCAGAGCGTCAAGGCCCTCCTTGCATGCCTACTTCACGTTTGCCACTTGAGTGCCTTTGGCCAGTGCCTGGGATTCAGGGCTGTGTAAAGATGACCCAAACGGGTCGTTAAGGTATGTTCTCTTTTAGCGTACGATCTCTTAAGGCCGTGCAGGAATAACTAGGGTGAATCAAGGTAAACCTCTGACGTCTTGGAGGAACATTACTGGCCTTGGAGGCTGCTGTGCTAAAGGCTGTAAGATGTGCTCGGCGTGTACTGTGCTGGAGAACAGGAACTCCAGATCCGTTTTGGTTGGGGTTTGGTTTTGTTTTCTGTAAAAGAGTCATGACTATTGATCTTTAAAGGGCTTTCTGTGAAGTTAGAATTCACTTCTCAGTTAAAAAGCTTTGTCTGATTTACAACTGCGTGTCTTCAAGCAAAGACTGGATGTGAAAGTGCTACTGAATTTATATTGGTTTTGTCGTATTTTGAATCATGCTGCTTCTTCATGAGCTCACTAATGAAAAGTGCCTGCAAAAAAACCAATCTTGCCTCTTCCCTCCCAGCAGGAAGGTAGGAGAAAGCCTCAAAGCTCTAGTCCTGTAAGCATATTGCATTTCTTCAGGTCAAAGAATTTTGGGTTTATTTTCTTGGCTTGAGCTTTCTCTTTGCCATTTACACCAAGTGTCAATCGTGCTGTGTTTGCTTAGGGGTTCAGATGAAGCTTTCTTGTCTCCCCGTTGCGTGCTGCTTTCTGAGGATCTCTTCTGATCCTGTCAGAGCGTGTAACGTAGGTGGATGTGAAGGTCTCGTTTATCACTCCCAAAATACGCCCATCCTAAACACCAGTTTTGCAGTTTCACATTTAAGGGGTTGGGTTAGACATCTGACTGATCTGATTGTGGATGGTCTAGCTGTAGCGTGTTACAACAGAATGGACTAATGATAAATGTAGCCTGAGCACTCTAGATTGCACCTGGTCATAGTGTGTGTGACTTTTTTTAGTTGCTGGAGCTGCTATTCTTACTATTTCTTTCCATACATGTATAATTCTGTTAGAAATCTGAATTCATATTAACATTAAATGATGGAAGATACGTGTATTGTCTTACCCATCCTGTAAAACTTACCAAAGGTTTTGTAGACAGTTGACTAGTTACCAGTCATGGATGAATATGTTACTCTCTACTCCATTTTCCTTGGTGGACGCGGGTCCTGAATAGGTTCAGTACTGGAATACTAAGGAAAAGGGTTTTTTCATATTAAGCCAAGTTCTTTCTTTTTTGAAATCTAATTCATATGTTTGTTTATATAAAAATCTACAGTCATCTTTTTATCAGTGTAGTGCAAATGTGTTATTACTTTATACATAAAAGATAATGAAGTGCTGTGCCAGATACGCAACGCAAAGTATTAGGATTAGGGAAGTAGTTATAGTGAACCTAAATCACCCTGCTGCAAGTTGCTGTTATAGATTCTGGAACAGTAGCCTGCGTCACAGCTACATGCTCCACGTACAGAGATAACAGGGTGTAGCATGAGCGCTTTGTCTAGGTTCGTTGATGCGGATGAGCACTACTGATGGGAGTACAAGGATACTACTGAGGTTCCTCTGAGCTGTCTGCCAAAAGTGTAATGCTGCATCTGACTTCTGTTGCCAATTCTAAGTTGCCGTGGAAGTGCATTTAAATGTGTTTAAGTATATTAATAGGTATTATATGCTAAACACCTGCTGCATTATAAAATACATAAACCCTTTTGTCTGTATTCTATGCATTAAATTGTGAGTTTCTGCAGTACAGAACTTCTTATCTCCTGTTGGGAAAGTGCCCTGTGTTCCTCAAGCTTAGGGAATTAAATAGCATATCTACACCTGCTTCTCAGCATCCCCTGTTCTCTGTGAAAGTGTTTCAGACCTGACAGCGGCAAGAGCCTTTTTCCCGGTACAACTTCTTGTAGAGGTGTACAGCTAACAGCCTGTTGAGGAATTTGGAAACTCCCAAGTTAGGCTGAAGCAATATTCTGAGTCAAGAAAAGCAGCAGATTGCGAGTCAAGGGGGAGGGGAGTTACTTTGTTGTTTTGCCGGAGTTTGTTTGCTTATTTTTATATGTTAAAAAATGCCTTATTAGCCTGAGGGCGACAAAGCAAAATACTGCCAGTTTTGTAAAGCGACGTGCTTGTAGGTCACTTGCACCACCTTGTGATAGAAATGGTGTATAGCAGTCTTCATAATCGTGCTTTTTGTGTTTAATGGTCGTTAATATATACATATGTACAGCAGAGAAATAACCTGTAACCAGAATTTTTTACTTTCCTATGTATTTCAGCTCTGATGAAGTTAAGTGATACACAATGCCTATGCATTAAAAATATAATTTCAGTATACACTATTCTTCTGTTGTGCTTTTGTGCTCAGCATTTCCTGTGTAATGATGAATGTGGCTTTTGCAGTTCCGATGATGAGTGTTCCAGAGGCTGAACAGCTCAGATTTATAATGACTATTATCAGATGAGGGAAAAAATGCCTTTTCACTCAGCAGTTATGACCATGCGCTTTATCATAGAATCACAGAATGG